ATGTATTCGGCATAACCAGCATAAAAAAAACATTGATAAATCAAAATCATGAAGAAAATTGTTGCTAAATTAAAGATTAAAGTCTATAATGATATTTATATTATTTCTTAGTTTAATAATGTTCCTATATTGTGAAGTCATGATTTATTGGTTTTCTTTTTTTTTTCTTTGAGCTCAATTCTCACCATAATCGCCATAATCAAAACTTCCAAAAGATTTTCCACCTAAGGTATTTGCCCTTAGTGGTATACCTTCAACACGGTTTACAGTAATATTTCTATTTACATTTGAAGGTTCTCTACTTTCATCACCTAAAAAATTATTATTATTATTATTATTATTATTATTAATAATTCGATGAAAAATATTCTGGAATCTTTTTTGAATATTCACTTGTTACAAACTGTCCATTGTTAGATTTTGAAAATGTTGGATCGTTTTTCACATTATAATAATTGTGTGGTGGAAGAGTATTAATACCAGCTGAATTATACTGTTGATATTGTTGATGTGAAGATGAAGGTATTATATTAATATTATTACTCCTAATTTCTGCACCATATCCTACCATGTTATTATTTTCTGGCAATAAAGTAGGCGGTGGTGGCGATGATACTCCATGCACATACGGTGTTCCCAAAGGTGGTGGTCTGCCGAAAGACGGTTGCTCAACGGAGATAGCTGGATGATAAGGTGTTGTCACTTCTGATACTTTGTTACTATAAGCATTACTCATTGAAGTTAGAGGAGGTGAGGCTAGAGGTGAGGAGACATTAACTCGATTGTTTATTATAGATATATCATTTGATCTGTTATTAAAATTATGAACACCCTCACCACCTCTATGATTATTCGGCCAAGGTCTATTTGACCCGCTATTATTAGAATTATAAACACCTCCGCCACCTCTATTATTATTCATCCTCGACGCCATATGAGCTCTTTCACCACCCCTATTATTATTCGTTAACGGCAAATTAGTAGGGCTAGACGTCATGTTATTTAATGGTCTACTATTTGATCTGTTGATATTAGGATCAGCATTCTGAACTCTTCTATCATTATTTGTCCTCGACCTAGATGCCGAGCTATTTAAATTCCTTGTATTACCGCTATTGGCATTAGAATTTGCTGTATGTTGCTCTGTTGACCCAACATTAAACATTTCATTAAAATCATCATTCAAGAAGCTTCTATGTTTATTATAATTTAATGCTTTTAATCGCTTTCTTACGAAAAATGCTATCAAACCGACCACTAAAATTCCTGCTATTCCTAATCCAACAATTAATCCAGGTGAAATTGATTCTGATGGTGAATTATTTTGGATTCCGCCATTTGGTACAACCCCGTGAGTAGTTGCTGAGGCGGTTACCGAGGTTGGATTTGTTTGGCTATACGATGGTGTCGTTACTACTCCTGGGGGTGTAGTAATTTGCGGTTGCGATGCTCCTGAGGTTGGATTTGATAACGGTGTAGATATTGGTGGTGGTGGTGGTGGTTTTGATTGTGGTTGTTCTGTTGGTGATGGTGGTGGTTGTGTTTGTGGTGGTGGTTGTGTTTGTGGTGGTGGTTGTGTTTGTGGTGGTGGTGGTGGTGGTTGTGTTTTTGGTGGTTCCGTTGGTGGTGGTGGTTGTGGTGGACGTGTATCTGTTGGTTGTGGTGGTGGAGGTTGATTCGAACGACTAGGATCTGTCGCCATTATTTTCAAAAAAAAAAAAAAAAAATCAAAATTTTTTTTTTTATACCATTACATAAGAGAATTTCTTTAAATAAAAGGTTTATATAAAATAATGAAATTTGTATATATCTGACAATTAAGGATACAGTTAATAAAACGCATTGGATGAAACACCACAAAACACAACCTTTGAAGATTGTCACGAGAATTTAATATGAAATTTTAAATGTTTTTGTATATTTATTAAAATGATTTACGTTAGCATGTGAACTAGTATAGAAAAGTCAAGTGGTAATAATAGTTATAAATCAGAATGAAATAATTATTGCAAGAATCGTCCAAAAGATCGTAGTTGCTATCATTGTCACATGAGATCACGTTTTTCCTAGCTTTTTCTTATTATCGATTTTCCATTCAAGCAAACAAACATACCGTATCTTCGCGTCATAACGCTCATTTTGAGTATATGCGCATTATTAGAGTACGCGCGTGGGAATCAAACAAAAAAAAAAATTATTCCGAAACTAGGTTTTATATTAAATAAACCTACTTTTGGGCTTTTAACAAAGGATGTTCAGATCGAGATGGATTCTAATGGTAGTAAGATCATTAAAAATGGTTCAATACATCGCTCGAAATAACTATGAAGTTTTGCGACGTTTGTTTATGTTCATATAAACCAAGATTAACAAACATTATAAAACTTTAAAGAGTTATTGCAAGCGATCTATTGGACCATTTTTACCATTAGAATCCGTCCCGTTCTGAAGTAATGACTGACTCGTTTCAACTCGTAACCCGCGAATTAAACTCAGAAGAGTACCCGGATCATATAATTTATTGTTAGTTATTCGATTTTTTCGAGTTATTCGAGCTATGAAATTGGTTTAGTGAAAAATTTGTAAATTAAATTAATTTGCGAATAGCTCGCGGGTTAAATTTCATGATTCGGAGAATGATAATTTGAGTTATTTGAGTTACGATTGACGAATCCAGTCATTAATCTGAAGAACAATCTTTGTTAAAGCCCAAAAGTATGTTTATTTAATACCAAACCTAGTTTCAGAGCATTTTTGATTTATTACTATAAATAAGTACTCCTATTCGAAGATCTGCTTATGTTATTTTTAAAGGTTGCAATTTTCCAAATAACGCCCATACGCGAAATACGGTCAATAATACGTAATCTTATGCCTTTAAATTAAAACAATCAAACAAATATGGATGTTTCATATTATACCTAATAATATTTATTGTGAACTGTCGAAACTTTTTTCCCAAACCTCGATACCAATTTACTAGTTTATTAGTTGGTACTAACTTTATTTCTTCTCAGTCTTTAATTGCTACTATTGAAGTATGATATCTTGACTTATCAAATACAACCACACCATTGTAGGATAGAGTTACAGAGATGCTAATAAGATATATAAGATATATATAGTGTTGGCAAATAGAACAATAGAACAAAAGCTTAATTTTTTGTCTTTATATAAAAATTTTTATTAATAATTTGTAATTATATTGTTAGAGCATTAGTAAAGTAATAAATTTTAAATAGAATTATAAGCCAATAGAACAAACATAATAAACATGACAACCCTTTATGATATTGGTAATTCTTTGTTTATTTAGTTGGTGTGATTCAGACTTCACAACAGAAAACACCAGTTATTAATAGTTATAATATTAATTTTGATAACGTAATCAAATGAAATCTGCCATTGACATTATAGAAAAACATCGATATATATTTCTGGAGAATCAGATTCGTATCACTTCAATGACAGTCATTTCATAGACGCCTTATTTCAGACAATTCGCCGACAAGTTTATTTTACAGACGATCAATTCACAGACAACTCATTTCATAGTTTGTTTCACCGACAGCTCATTGCACATACAAGTTTGTTTTATAACTTGTGCTAACTTATACATGCCGTAGAAACTATTTCGGCTTGCCGAAAGTATTTCGACATAATTTTTAATATATTTTATATAAAAATCGACGTCGAAATATTTTTGGTAAAACCGAAATATGTATATGTTGTGCCTCAGATCGATACTTGCGTCAGATTAAAACCATTAGGCCAGCATTAAAATGATCTGCAAAATCGGCCTAGCTAAATCCCAATACTTACCCTAACCCTAACTCTAATTTAGGCCGGTTTTAATCTGACGCAAGTTTTAATCTGAGGCACGACATATACACTAGTTCTAACCCTAACAATAATACCTATAATTTTCGTGCAACGCTGACAAAGAATGTAGATCATACGCGCACATATGTTTAAAACAATCCGGATCCGACGGAGTCGGGTGATTATCTATAAAATCGGGGATGGTTAAAGCAAGGTGCGTTAGAATTACTTTTTTGGTGCAGTTAGGGTTATTTTTTTGATGCAGCAATGGTGAGGGGTTTATATAAATATCAAAAATATAATTTATGCAGCATGTAGACCATTTCCAAGTTTATATTAAATGGCTTTAACCGACCCCTAAATTGGAATTTGAATAGATTAGTGGTGCAACCAAAATTTAGCAGATCGACCAAAATTTAGGTCAGAATAAATTTCTCCAAAATTTTACTAATGAAATGGTAGTCCATGTATAGTAGCCAACAAAAGTAACGCCCGATAGTTTTTTTATAATGAAACCTATAAAAAATTGAAATTTATATAATATATAAAAGTCAATATTTTTTTATTAAAAAAATTTTTTTAATATAATTAATAAATTTAATATTTATATTTTATAATATATAAGTTTTACCAGGCTAAACAGAATAGATTGATTTTTTCTAAATTATAAAGTTTATAATTCAAAATTTCATATATAAAACATATAAAATTTGTAAATTAACTTTAAAATTAAATATAAAATTTTAAAATTTTTTTAAAAAAACTTAACTATAATTATTAATAGCATTATTATTATATTTTAAAGGCAATATAAAATAAAAATTATTTTTATAAAAAATATAAGTTTAATATAAGACTATACAAAGCTAATTTTTTGGTTCTTATAATATAAACTTTGAAAAATAATTTAGCAATCTGGCTTTTAATTTTATTTTCTATATATAAAAAATGTATAAAAATTTTTATAACTTTTAAAAAAACTTTATACAAATAGTAAATATAGTCAAAAATTTTTTTATAAATATTGTAAAATTTAATCAAACCAGGTTATAAGAATCAATTTATTAAGTTTATATAGTCTAATATAAAATTTACAATTCAATTCTAAAATTTTAAAATTGCTAAAAGAATTTGAATAAATGTATACATCATACTATGCAATGCACTTGTATATCACACCTCAATATAAACAAAGTTAATTGCAAATTCATGAAATATATTATATTAAATTAATTTTTATATATAGGTTAAGGTTGATAATTAGAGGTTAGAGTAGAGTATAGTATATAGTAAAATTTTGCAAAGAATTTTTTTTATTAGAATATTAAAAGATGTTTTATAAACAAAATTTTGAGATATTATCAATTTCTTAAAAAACCAAAAAATTTAACATTATACCTGATCTTCACATTATACTACAGATATACAATTTAATTAGTAGATTGTTAGAGTGAGATATATAAACGCATTGCATAGTATAATCCTAATTAAGTTCAAAGAATTTTATATATATATATATATTTTTTTTTTTTTTTTTTAAAGAGAGGTCTATCCTCTATCTCTTTTATTAATAGTTAATTATACATATATTAGATACATAAGAAAAAAAACTATGCTACGGGAGATAGAAGTAAGAGCTACTTTACTCTTGACCTATTCTTTGCTAGAATGGTCGTAGACCTCTAGTCTTTGATAATATAATGAAGAGAAGATTGTCCATATTTGATAAATTTGTATATTTTTTCTTG